AGTAGCTTACGCCGCAGTAGTTTTTTTGAGAGTCACAACATTATCCGGTCATACAACTGTTTCGCTCCTCGCTGGGCGATCCAAAGTCGCGCCTATCAAACCGCTGACAATCCCTCGATTAGAATTGTCAGCTGCGGTCTTATTAGCGCGCCTAATTGAATTCATCAGAAAATCTCTTCATTTCACGAAAATGCCAGTCCATTGTTGGACAGATTCGAGTATTGTGCTTGCTTGGTTAAACAAGCACCCATCTCATTGGAAAACTTTCGTCTCGCATCGCGTAACAGAGATTCAAACACGAGTATCTGATGGCATTTGGCATCATGTCAGTACACATGAAAATCCCGCTGACTGTGCATCTCGCGGTTTACTCGGCACAGAATTAAGCGCCTTCGACATTTGGTGGCGCGGACCTTCATGGTTGAGTCTTAAACAGGATGATTGGCCCACATTCACAATAACGCCGATAGACGAAACACAGTTAGAAGAAAAACCGTGTCAAGTGCATCAAGTGAACGCTAATGAACCGTGGAATCTCACTACTCGATATTCATGGTGGCCAAAATTAATACGTATTACCGCCTACATTTACCGTTTCATAAGGAAGTGTAGAAAGAAACACACAATAGGATCGAACAACAAGTCTCAATATCACGCTCTTACTACAGTTGAATTCAACGAAGCACGAAACTTCTGGCTGAACTTCATTCAGTTAGAACTATTCGAAAACGAGCTCCATAATTTAAAGTCAAACAAACCGTTGCCTACTCACAGTCCAATTCTCTCATTAAATCCGTTCCTGGATTCTGACGGTCTAATTCGCGTTGGGGGGCGATTAGAACACTCGTCATTATCTTTCCAGTCCAAGCATCCAATCTTATTAGCCAACCATACGATCACTACCATGATCATCCGTTATACGCATGTTGTATCTCTCCATGCCGGTCTTCAATCCACTCTTTCAAAACTTAGACAAGAGTTTTGGATTTTGAGAGCAAGAAGTCTAGTAAAGTCGGTTATTTATAAATGTGTTCCGTGTACAAGAGAAAAGGCTCAAGTAGCTAGTCAGCTGATGGGCCAGCTACCTACAAGTCGTGTTTCGGCGCCCTCTCGAGCGTTTCTACATAGCGGTGTCGACTACGCCGGACCAGTCTTTACACGTGCTTCAGCCGGCCGAGGAATTACCTCGCGAAAGGCCTACATAGCACTCTTTATTTGTTTAGCCACACGCGCTATTCATCTCGAACTGGTTAGTGATTACTCGACTGCTGCCTTTCTTAACGCTTTTCAAAGATTTTGTGCGCGACGTGGATTACCAGAGGTCATGTACTCGGACAATGGTACTACGTTCGCAGGAGCAGACAAGGAGTTGTCGCAAGCGTATCGAGACGCTCAAAGCGATGTTAACTTTCTCAACTTTATCGTGTCAGATAACATCACATGGAGTTTTATCCCTCCCCATGCTCCACACTTCGGTGGATTGTGGGAGGCAGGGGTCAAAAGCGTTAAATACCACCTTCGTAGGATATTAGGAAATCACACCCTCACTTTCGAGGAACTTACTACCGTGCTTTGTAAAGTTGAAGCATGCTTAAATTCAAGGCCCCTGTGCCCATTGACTGATTCGATTGACGATTTTGAAGTGCTCACTCCGGGTCACTTTTTGATTGGATCGGCAATCACAATCAATCCAGAACCTTCTGTTCTGCAAATCAATGAAAACAGACTGTCACGGTGGCAGTTGTTGCGACAGATCACGGAGCGTTTTTGGAAGCATTGGCACGCCGACTATATTAACACGCTTCAACAGCGAACTAAGTGGCGAAAGGCAAAGTCACTTATCCATATCGGTTCCATGGTTCTGATTCAAAATCCTCTTCTTCCTCCTTGCAAATGGGAACTCGGACGCGTAATCCACTGTCAACCAGGCTCTGACGGATTAATTCGAGTAGTTTCCGTCAAAACAGCGAACTCGGAATATAAGCGTCCCATAACTAAGTTATGTGTGCTTCCAATCGACGTTGATTCTGACGATTCCATCGAGGATCAACCTCGAGTGTCAAGCAATTAGCGATAATTCTAGTGTAAGTTAATTATACGATTCTAATTCTAATTACGTTATAATTTATGTAGCAAGTAAGTCAAGTTTATGTTCATTAGTTAAGTCAAAGCGTGCAAGTAAAGTCGCCAAGGCGGGCGGCGCTTGCAATCCTAAGTTTAAGGTCGTGCGAATTAGTACGAACAGCGGATACTGTTGTTTACGCGATCTGCGTTAAATGTTAAAATCCGTCCGCGATAACAACAGTGATCTTTAGAAGTCAACTTTAAGTCAATATTGTCAGCCGTTTCAGGTCTACAATTTCACTTTAGTGCGATCTGAGCGTAATCAGAAGTTACATCTCAGTATCTTATATATTGCATGGGATCAATCGTGACGAACAATCACACGCAATTAGTTTTCATTTAGCAAACCTCACTCACACGGGAGTGAACGATGCATCCTTGTGTAAGGTATACCGCGAGATCGAGTAGTTTCGAAATTCAAATTTCGAGGCGGGCGGTATGTTTAGGATTGAGAAAAATTTGCCGCGCTCGATCGAACGAAAATTCACGGATCAGTCGAGAATTTAAGTGAAAGCAATTGCCGCGGGCCTAACACGGCAGCACCTCGCGGCACGCACCGCGGGAAGCGCCGCGGAAGCAAATTTTCGGCCAATTAGCGCGTTCCGCGTGTACCCCTCGCGATCAGGCGGTCGATAGCGTGATCGATGAGGGTAGCATTCCGTCGGAGACAGTCGTCGCGGAGAGAGAGCCGGCGTTGGTCGCAAGTCAGACCAAAGAATTCGCGTTACCGTGTAATAAGTGCGTGAATGTATTATCGCGACAAATACGAACAGATTTGCGCGGTATTGTGTGACATATCGAGAGTGAAGAGTTAACGAGTAATCGGATCTCGTTCGCGACGCAACATACACGTTCTCGCGACGAATTCGCCATTGTCTCGTGCATGCTACGTGCACGTGATCGAACATTACGAGTATTCGGATCCTGCTGGAGGATTCACTGCGATATTCGCGTATCGGTGAATGCATGTCGTGCATTCTCTCTCTCGCTCGCTCTCTCTCTCTCTCTCTCTCTCTCTCTCTCTCTCTCCCGCGCTCTCTCTCACAATTGTCGTAGTACGCCGTCGCGACGAACTCGCCGTCGTATTGTGCACGCTGCGTACACGTGATCGACTCCTGCGAATATTCGAATCCTTCTGGAGGATTCTGTGTGATAGTTAATTGCATATAAATGCACGTGATCGAACATTACGAATATTCGGATCCTGCTGGAGGATTGAATGTCACATAATTGAAGACAATTATTAAGTCGCGTCAAATCATATGTGCGCGTGTTCGATAAATTATAACGGTCGTCCACAAGAGGACAAATTTGTTGTTGTACGATTCGCGATCGTGACTTTCAAATAAGACATTGTTTTCTCTTGCGACAAAAAACATTGGTGTCGATATCGAACAAACAGTTTTTTCTTTTGTGATCGCGAGCTTCGAAACGTGTACAGCAAACGCTTTCGATTCTCATATCGAGTTTTTGTTCTTTTTTCTTTGATTTGTTTGTGTCAAGTCCAGGTGACTTTCTGACATGTGAAATAATAAATTGATCTGTTTTTGTTCATCAACTTCAAGACTTCTTTTCAATTCGGCTTCCTACGTAAATCATCAATCTCAGCGCACACATGGGTGCGCGATCACCCTATTAAGATACAGTCCACTCAACAATTATCCTATTGTCCATCCATCACATCTCTCATGAGATTCCTATGATTTCTTTCCAATAAAAAAAAAAAAAAACGGGTGAAGGATTTGAGAGGCGGCGCGCGAGACGCGGCCCTAAAAAGGCCGAGCATGCTCGTTCGCCGCAGCTTCGCGTCGGACCACGGTTCAAGCCGCGCGTTCGCAACAGTATGTATGTTCAATTTGAACTTGCACCTTGAATAAAATATCACAGTTATTTTTCATGGTAATATATTATTACTAAATTTAGATAATATACACTTTACGTATGTTCACTTTGAACTGGCACCTTGAATAACATATCAGTTACTTTTCGTGATAATTTATTATTAGATCGTTTAAATTTTTGAGTGCCTTCTTTTGAACATGGCCTGACCTTTTCATTTTTATGATTTTTTTAGGATATATATATATAGTAATACAATAGTAATACAAATTACTAAATATTAAGTGCCATGTGCAAATTTTAATAAAGGATCTGTTTCATATAAAAAATAAAAGTGATAGGAGACAAAATATTGTGATTAATATTGAAAAAATTACCTATAGTCATTAAAATTCCAGAATTTTTCAGGAAATTACAGCCTTTGATATGCATCTGACCAATATTTTCATTTTTATCGATAGCATTTATCAATGTATTAATATCTAATATAAAAGCAGAACTGAATTATTATCAAATAATTATGCTAAAATAATAGTTATGAAAGTACTTCGCATTAATCTTATGTGAAATGAATTTCAGTTAAACTAGCTGTTTTTTTTCAAATGTAGCTTATGATCTGTTGAACAAAAGATGCAATAATCTCAAGGCTAATTAATAAACAATTATTGAGTATAGCCAGGCAAGCAGTTCGCAAAGCCCGAGTATTTCATATTTGACTGATTGTATAAATCAGTACCTATTATTTAGCTTTGAGCCTATTACATTTTTTTCAATAGATTATAAGCTACAACATATTAAAAAACCAGCTGATTTAACCGACACTTCACATAACATTAATGTGGGATACTTTAAATTTTTAGTTAATATTAAGAAAACTCACCTAATATTTGCGAGTCATTGATCTCTAAAAATTCATAGCCTTTTTCTTGCAAGGCAGCCTTTTCATTATATATATTTTCATCAATAGATCTTATTTTCATATCATTATATATATTTTCATCAATAGATCTTATTTTCATATCATTATATATATTTTCATCAATAGATCTTATTTTCATATCAGTATCTAATATAAAAGTAAGAAGCAAAACTATATTATATGTTTATCATAAAATAGCACTTATGAAGTTTGCTAATATTAAAGAAACTCACCTAATATTTGAGCATCATCATTTTTAAGAGAGTCACAGTTTTCTCTTTGTGCAGCAATCTCTTTGATGCATGTATTCCTATCGACAGAGCCTTTCTTTGTATTAATATCTAATGTGAGAATAAAAAGAAAAACTACATTAGATTATGAAAAGAATTATTATAAAAGGTTGATATCAGAAATGATATATATTAAAGAAGAAAACAACAGTATCAACCTAAAAAAGGACACCGAGCGTCTTGACGGTTCTTATTATGATATTCTAAAAAAATTGTCTACGTCATCTTAAAAATTGGGTATATATACAGCGCGCCGACATTGTAAGATACAGATATCGATTTGTTTTTTAAAAAAGTACACATTGTGATTATGTTAAGTAAAAAGAAATAATTTTTTAAAAAAAGTGTTATGTTCGTTGACAAAAAAGTAAGTTAATACTATTTATTAAAAATCTAAATGTAATATTTGAGCGGATATATTAATTTGTTCACAGTGTCGTTACATAATATAACAGCATCTGACGCTCTAACTCATGCCAACAAACATGAATTTGTACTGCGTTCGTCATATAATCTTATAATTGTTATATTTATTTATGATGTCGAAATGACTAAATTAATTTTTTAACATATTATTAGGATATTGAGAAAGACTGTCGTACAGTCGAAACGTTTATCTTAACTTTTTTATAGTATGACGTAAATTAATAAATAAATTTTTCAATTAATAGCATATAAGCTCGTTAAGTTGGCCTTTTATTATATCACATATTTTAATTGTATACGAGCCGAAGTTTAATTTATAAAATAGATACATTTAATTCACGCTGGCCTTACAATGCGTAATAATTATACACTTTTTAAGTTCCACCATTTTAATTTTAAGTTTGTACAACATAATTATGGACAACAAAGTTTTGAAGATTTAAAATCTTGGCTAGGGCGAATTATGGCAAAATAAGAACTGTGTCCAAATTAATATTTTTAAAACAATGTAGGACATTCAGAGTTTTACCTAAGCATCTATCAGACAATAGTAATATTAACGTATGTCATTATAAATCAAAAAAAAGGTTAGACAGTGTGTTGCATAATTTAGAATGGAAATATTAAACATAGAGATATTTGACTTGCACAGACAAATAGGGTATTTTAACAAAAACATAAGATACTTTACACAAAGATTAAATAACAACATCCCATCCCAGGTATGGCAAGAGATTTATAACCACCATAGTAGATTATTCAAAAACAATTTTAAACTTACATTACTTACATAAGAAAAAATTCTGTTGGTTATTGCAAAAAAAAGAATCGGATTACTATAATATATTAAACCCATAGTTTTTTTCTGTTCAGAGAAAAATAGTGTAAACTCTCAAAATAATAATATATTAATAACCACATTAACGCAACAAATTTTATAAACAGAACTATTAATCCATTAGAACAAACCAATGATAAATGGTTTATTAATTTGACTGATGTAGATATTCCAACTGATGTCACAAATTTATTGCAATTAGGTAGTGATTTTAGCCTTCCTATTAATACTGATAAAAAAACAGCTGTCCATGAATTTATTAAAGACATAGAAAGCAATTCGAATAACATAACTAATCTCACGACAATAAGAAACATAGCTATTCCACAGTTCTTTGTTTTTTTAAACAACAATACTAGGAAAGACATAATTAATGACAAACTTACTTTATGTAAAAAAACCATGACATTTTGTAAACAAAATCCCAGCATCATTTTCACAAGAGCAGACAAGGGAAACACGACCGTAGCAATGACCAAAGAATTTTATATAGACAAAGTTGAAGAATTATTAAATGACAAAGATAATTATATGACAATCAAAAACAATCCAATAATAAAAATAGAAAAAGACCTTAACAAAAATTTAAAACAATGGTTAAAAAATGAATGGATCACAAAAAAGACTATTATTGTTTAAGTTCCAGTGATTCAGTGCTTCCTAAAGCATATGGCTTGCCCAAAATTCACAAGGAAAATGTTCCATTCAGAGTAATAGTATCGTCGGTCAATACAGCACTACATCATTTAGCTGCATATTTACACAACATTTTAGTGACAAGTTTACCCAAAGGGAAAAGTCATGTTAACAATAGTTTTGAATTGTGCAACGCTTTGTCTGATCTTAAATTAAATAACAATGAAACAATCGTATCTTTGGATGTGATATCGTTGTTCACAAATGTTCCTGTGGACCTTGCAATAGACAGCATAAATAATAGATGGCATTACATTGAAAACCACACATCAATAGACAAAAATGAGTTTGTTAATGTAATTAAATTCATTTTGACTTCAACGTACTTCACATTCAACGAAACGATCTATAAACAAATACATGGAACTCCTATGGGATCGCCTTTATCTCCAATTATTGCGGATATTGTCATGCAAGATATAGAAACTAGGATTCTTGAAACTATAAAGGTTAATATAAGGTTTTACTATCGCTACGTCGATGATATCTTGCTTTGCTTGCCGGAAGATCAAGTCACATATCTAGTAGAAAAATTTAATGATTGTCACGATAGATTAAAATTCACAATAGAAAGAGAGGATAACCGTAGCATAAGTTTTTTAGATATCTCACTCAAAATTATAAATAACATAATATACATAGATTGGTTTCAGAAAAAAACATTTTCGGGTAGAACATTCTCATATCATTCAAATCATCCTATATGCCACAAAAAAAGTGTAATATATAATTTAGTAGACCGGTCAATATTATTATCACATCCCCGTTTTCATAGTAAAAATTTAACATTAATCATAGAGATTTTATTGAGCAATAGTTATCCTCTTGATCTCATTTTCTCAGAAATCAACAATAGACTGAAGTTCCTTATTGTTAATAGATTAAACAAAGAAATGACTCAAGATATAAATAACGAAATCATAAATAATGACAATAATAAAAAATTCATAGCGATACCTTATATTGAAAGAATCTCGGAACTAGTAGCATCAGAATTAAAGAAATCAAATATAACAGTAGGATACAGATGTCTAAAGAAATTAAACAGAGTCATAAAAACGCAAAAAGACAGAGATAAGCTCCAAAATAATTCGGAGGTCATATATAAGATTTCGTGTAATAATTGTGATGCTACATATGTAGGACAGACGAAAAGACAATTAGGTACAAGAGTAAATGAACATAAAAATAATATTAGATTAGATTCAGCAAGGCACTCGGTGGTTTCTGATCATATTGTAAAATTTACACACAATTTCAATTGGAACGACACAAAAATCCTAGATTATGAAAAGAATTATTATAAAAGGTTGATATCAGAAATGATATATATTAAAGAAGAAAACAACAGTATCAACCTAAAAAAGGACACCGAGCGTCTTGACGGTTCTTATTATGATATTCTAAAAAATTGTCTACGTCATCTTAAAAATTGGGTATATATACAGCGCGCCGACATTGTAAGATACAGATATCGATTTGTTTTTTAAAAAAGTACACATTGTGATTATGTTAAGTAAAAAGAAATAATTTTTTAAAAAAGTGTTATGTTCGTTGACAAAAAAGTAAGTTAATACTATTTATAAAAATCTAAATGTAATATTTGAGCGGATATATTAATTTGTTCACAGTGTCGTTACATAATATAACAGCATCTGACGCTCTAACTCATGCCAACAAACATGAATTTTGTACTGCGTTCGTCATATAATCTTATAATTGTTGTATTTATTTATGATGTCGAAATGACTAAATTAATTTTTTAACATATTATTAGGATATTGAGAAAGACTGTCGTACAGTCGAAACGTTTATCTTAACTTTTGTATAGTATGACGTAAATTAATAAATAAATTTTTCAATTAATAGCATATAAGCTCGTTAAGTTGGCCTTTTATTATATCACATATTTTAAAAACTACATTATTATCAAGTATTTATGATAAAATAGCAATTATGATATTTACCAATAGTAAGGAAGCTCACCTAGCATTTCAGCATCAATTACAAAAGATTCACAGCCTTTTTCTTGCGAGGCAGTCATACCGTTGTATATATTTTCATCGATAAATGCTATTCTTGTATCATCATCTATAATATAAAAATAAGAAACAAACTATATTAATATATGTTTATTGCAAAATAGCATTCATGAAATTTGATAATATTAAAGAAACTCACCTAATGATATTTGAGCATCATCATTTTTAAGAGAGTCACAGTTTTCTCTTTGTGTAGCAGTCTCTTCAAAGCATGTATTTTTATCGACAGAGCCTTTCTTTGTATTAATATCTAATATGAAAGTAAAAAGCAAAACTACATTATTATCAAGTATTTATAATAAAATATCAATTATAATATTTACCAATATTAAGGAAGCTTACCTAGCATTTCAGCATCATTTACAAAAGATTCACAGCCTTTTTCTTGCGAGGCAGTCACATTGTTGTAAATATTTTCATCGATAGATCTTATTCTTGTATCATTATCTATAATATAAAAGTAAGAAGCAAAACTACACTAATATATATTTATTATAAAGCGTGGTTTACAATAGCAGTAAGCAGTAAGAGTAAGCAGTACAAAATGAGGTTTGTTCATTTTATTACTCCCGACGAAATGGGCAATCCAATTTCATACTGTTTACTCTTACTGCTTACTTACTGCTATTGTAGACCACGCTTAAAATAGCGATCATACAATTTACTAATATTAAGGAAACTCACCTAAGTGTACTTGAGCATCATCATTTCCAAATTTATTTACTTTTTTGTTTTCAAAGTTAATTCTTTTGCATATAATATACGGTTTTCCTTCAATTATATTTTCTACTATTTGTTTTAATACTGATTCCTTATCTGAACAAGTTAAAATAAAATTAATTAGTTTTAGTTCAAATTTTTCTGTCTCTCTTTCTCTCTTTCTCTCTCTCTCTCTCTCTAGACACACACACACGCAACACGTACGCACGCACACATATAAATATCGTAGCAAATGCAGATATTGTATAACAGCGGCATGACTTTAATATAACAGTTTTTACAATAACGTAACAGTTAAAAATGAAAAATATTGCTACTTACCATTTCTTGGTAGAATATTTGCTGTGTATCTGCGTCGATTGCTATACGTGGCTTTGATAATTCCTTTACTAACACTAATTGTGTTCGACTTGCATACATAATGTATACCGTCATAAAATTTCACTAAACTATACATTTTGGAAAATAAACCAGTATCACGTATTACTAATGGTTAATGGCCTCCTGTTCCTTCCCGCTTTTTTTACAGTCTCAAAATGGCCAGCAAGACCGACGTCGACAATTGACAATCAGTATGTACGTTTACACGGCACTCTTAAGCGGGAGCACACACTCTTGCATAAGCGCATAAGCATATGCATAAGAAATTCGATTGGTTGAATTTCTTATGCATATGTTTATAGACCAATCAAGATTCTTATGCTTACGCTTAAGCGTCTATGCAAAAGTACCACGTTGTGTATAATACATTATACATTTCGGCTTTTGACAACATCCTATTTTTCATAAAACGGTTATTACAACGACACTCCAAAAGCAAATAAAGAAATTCTTTTTTTAAAATAGCTATATCATATTCATCGAATATGCAAGCAACAGATATTAGAGGAAAAGGTGCGAATGTAGCAAGTCAGGTTTTTTGAGATATATAATTTAAAAATGCGAAAAAGGGCATTTTTTTACCTTTTAGTAAGATATAACTTTAATTGGGATGTGATACAAATTTCTTCGACAGCTTAAAATAAAGCTTGAGACTGTAGTTTATGTAACAAATATGAAAAAGTTCGAATCTAAAGAGTTTATAAAAAAATTAATCGTACCTCACAAGATTCTATATTAGTAAAGAAAAAATGCAAAAAAAAATTTTTTATCTTATAACTAATTTTTTTATAAACTGTTTAGATTCAAACTTCTCATTGTTACATAAACTACAAATACCACCTACCAATATATCATACGGATACATTTGCACTTTCTCTTCTATATATCGATTGCTTGCATATTTGATGAATAATATAACTATTTAAAAAAATTTTTAATTTACTTATAGAATGCGTTAATAAATGTTTTATGGTAAATATGATGTCGTCAAAATAGCCGAAATATAATGTATATACATAATTTTGTACTTAGATCGGTTAGTACAGCGACAGTACAAAATTATGTATAATACATATATATTTTGGCTATATTGACGACATCATACTTTCCATAACACGGTTATTATAACGACATACTAAACGCAAATAGAAAAATTATTTTTCTAAATAGCTTTATCATTCATCGAATATGCAAGCAATCAAGATATACAGAGGAGTAGATGTAACTGTGGCAT